TGAGAAAGGTTGTAGGCGTACTGCTGTAAGTCCTACAATTCTTCAAAGGGTAGCGCATCAATGAGCAGTCCAATGTGCTTGGTGTGTGATTTTGTACATATGTTCATATTGCATATACTGAATTGATATCATCTGTCATCTGTCTGTTGATAATTTTGTTTGTGTCCGGACGTCTTCCACTTGGATCATCAGCCTGAGAAGGAATGTAGGCGTACTGCTGTAAGTCCTACAATTCTTCAAGGGTAGTTCGTCAAGGCAGAACCCACCACTTTGATGTGTTGATTGTACATATGTTTGTGTTAAATAATTGTGTGAGTTCCAATTATTGTAATTGTTGGTTAATCTTGTTTGTGTCCGGACATTCCACAACTTACAATCGTCAACCTGTGAAGGGTTGTAGGCGTACTGGTGTAAGTCCTGCGATTCTTCAATGGAATTCCATCGAGGCATGAACTGAGAGTTTGTGTGAACTGTTTGTATATACGTGTGGTGTGTCATATCAATTGGTGTTTTTTGGATTCATTGTGTTTACTCGTTGTTTTCGTACCTAGTTGTTATTGCATAATTTTGTTAAAATTTTCGTCGTGATTACTTCTGAAGTTGTTTCGAGTCTTCTACGTTCGTGAATGAATTGATTGATGTTAAGGACAGCAGATGGGGCGTATACGCCGGGGAGGCTAGGCTATTGCTGAGAATGAAATGCACACGGATATAATTGTTAGCTGTGGTCCCACACGCCGGGGAGAAAGAGTGTAAACGACTGAGGCTGGCATGCGTCACCGCTACTAGAACTGAGGCAGAGTGAGTGACAAGCGATTGCAGTGGTAATTGGTAGTGAGTAGATACGAGGACGTGCGTGGAGTATTCTGAGGTGGTGCTATGGTCACGTTGCATTCTGCAAGAGTCATTCTAGCGAGTGGCGATTGTGTTGCAAGAGGATGCTTTTAACTGGAATTCGCAGGTCGTCATTGATGTGTGAGATTGTGCTGTGGGTATGCTTGTGGTGTGTTGGCTTTTCTGTTTGTTTTCCATTTCAGCTCTGTCCGTGTGACCCAGGTTCTCGCAATGGCATCCAAGTCAACGTGTATTGGTCGTGATGGAATAAAGGGATGGATCCGTATTTTGCTGGGGAGTGTCAATGCAGTTGAAGATTGAACGATCAATTCATGGTTGTTTGCTCAAACCCAACTTCCTCAATTTTCGCAGAGACATCGGTACACCAGTCATCTTCTAATCGGTCGCTGTTCAGAAAGAAGTCAGGCCAAAACTGTCAGAAACCTCAGTTAAAGCTTAATTTTAAAGTTGGCTATATATCGGTGTTACAATAAAGAATTTTTTAGTAGCCAATCTGTGTTTTGCTTTTGCGTCCGTTATTACTAAGCGTTTCTGAGAAACTTCAAGGAACAGCGTGATTCCCAGTGTAGCAAGAGCTGGGCATTGATGGTTTACGAGACGTGGCTGACGGAGTTCTTTCTGTGGAAACTAATTCTGAAACTTTTTATCATCAGATAGTATCACCGAGTATTTACCTAGGTAGTCTGATTTGTTCATCAACACGATTCCGAAGCCTTTATCTGGTCCTGTGATGATCAGGTTTTCGTTATCCCTCAGTTCTTTCAGCTGCTTTCGATGTTCTTTGGAATGTACATTACGAAGGCTAAGCTTTTTGTTGATGTAATCAAGGCAGCAATTTAAATCCGTTGATTTGAATAGGTATGCATTCTCATATGAGATTGGGACCAGATCTTTCATCTGGTCGATTAAATTTCCGAATCGGACTTTCGTGATCAGTTCATTCACTTTTGAGGTTGCATCACAAAACTTGGGTTCAAGCGCTAAAACTTGCATTTGAATTGGAGATAATGAAACGACAGAATAATTGTACACGTATATTTCTGGACAAGTAGGAATGATGGTTTGTTTTGTAACAAACCTTAGGCTTTGGTTTAGTTTCATTCTAACATCATCTGTTCTTTTCTTTGAAATCGTATTAAAGTAGTTTTCGAATGATGTTCTCTCATCTTCAGATGACTCATGGAGACAGTGGGAGCTTTTTGAGATATTCTGCTCTAGCTCAGGTAGTCTTGATCGCACTGAATCGATGTGATTCAGAGTGTGTCGCTTCAGTGTACGTGAGTTAGGGCATATGTGATTTCGTCTGAGATGCTTCCAAAATACTTAAGGATATTCATGTTTATCGAGACAATTCTTGAAGAAGAAAATTTTTGCGTCCGCCTCAGCAAGCTTGACGGTTTCATTATTATTATATTATATCCGTAAAACAACAAGCGGTTCCATTAACGTAAGCCGTTATTCCATCAATTTCTTCAAGTGTCATTGGTCTAATTCCATTAACCTTTCACAAAATATTTTATGACGGGTAATCAAATCTGAGGGGTTTTTAGTGATACGAGCCTAATGCACTCTCGAAACCTACTCTAAACGGAATAACTACAAAAATAAAATCGACACCATAAAACTGAGGGCTTTGTCAGGTGATGGTGTTGCTGAACATGTTTTACAAATGACCTCAGCAGATAGAAAATTCACAAATAAGTTCGGAAAGCCGATAGACAATGACCACTGAACTTTCTCTGTCTGTTTTCGACATAGAACTTTGCACAAATGTGCGGAAGTTCAAGTCGCCACATTCCGTGTAGCACGCGAAGCAAGAGAAGAAAGTACAAGAAAAGCATAATAGAAACAGTGAGCAGAGGTGTGAGACAAAGGAGTAATAAAGAAATACAAAACAGTTTCATTGAAGATCATAAGTCACAAGGAGTGGATGCATCTGCGCCACTGAGAACGATTTTGAGCCATGTCACCAATTGTTTCCAACCATAGATTTTTACCGTCCCGAGGACCCCAGCCTGGAAGTCTACACCTTTCTACGTGGCTTAGACCAACTGTTGTGGATTTCATTGACTGAACTTTCAGAAAGATTGGAAGAAATAATTTTCCATAGATGCGAGGAATTAGGCTAAATTTAAGTGTAAAACAGTTTGATAACTGCTATCTTTTACAACATACTAACGATTTTCCGGAATTAGGTCTTGTTAGGGTCCTAACAACCACAAATTGATTATTTTGGAGAGAAATTATCTCTGCAGTGTTTGACTACTCATCATACTGCGTAGGTAGTTGCATATCATTTACTTCTTTGCCGTCCAGCTCTGTACTGACTGCGTCGTCAGTTGATCTAAAAACACTCCAGTGAGACCCCTAATAGCAAGCGAAGTCGGCTTTTTACGAGTCACAAATTGGTACGGATTCTGAGGAATGGTGTGTGGCTTTCATTTAAGGCTTGACTTCCATCTCTATTGAACTTTATATTACACTTATTTCTCACAGTTAAGCGTATTACTGTCTTGTTTCTTCCAGGAGAAGGTGCTACTTATGCCTTATTTTTTCTTGCACGTTATCTTCGTCTTATGAATGAAATCACCAAGAAGTGACTTAATAATACCCTCTACGCTCACTGCTTTTGACTAATATTAAGTGAAACTCATTAGTTTATCTCGCTATCCGCAAGCTTCCTCTCATCCCCATACCAGTAGGCCTAGTCACATCAGTAACATGGAGGACAGTCCTAATCAGTTAACTGTTATCTAATGGTCAAGTTGGTAATTACATTGTTTTTATTACTGTTCTCAAAAGGTGGTAGAATTCATATTTTGTTCATTAGTGGTCGATCACTGGTTAGAAAATTGAGCCTAAACTATTTGGTTCTCAGATCCCAGTGTACGTGGTCCTTAGTACTTTGAAATTCGAAAGAATTGCTGGTAGCATTCAACTTTTCTTCACTGAACCCTCCTCCGGAAAAGCGTTGTTGTTTAAGGTTGAGAGGCTGGGTGTTGAAGACGTCAGCAAAAATAAACTGATCAAATCTCATATTAAAAACCACATGGCTTATTTTTAGAAGATCAAAGTAATTTGTAGATCGAAATGAACATCAGATGCTTTGCCTTCAGCGGTCGTTTCATATGTCTTATCAAAAAAGGTTGTGGCGCACTAGTAACACTTCAAGGAACAACAGTGTAGTGTTTGCATTGTGCAGTGGTTGTAAGCTACTGTGTTTCATCATTATTCTACTCAAATTAACAAACCCATTAAAATGGAGCAGATTTTAAAATTTTTCAAGTATTTGGGGTGACTTTAGAACAGCCTGGATGTCAAGCTAAGTTAAAGCAGACCTACGAGATAGCCACTCTTGTAATCAAGCCCTCCATGTATTAGGAGAGCTGACCGTATTACAATCATGAGCGTTATTTCTAGTTGAGGCTAACGACACTTTGTGCATTGCAATAACTGACCATCTTAAAGTTGAAGTAATCGTTGATTTCTTGCCTCATGAGCGGAAGATCATCAAAGCCAGCAGACAAAAATCCCAGCATTTTATACGGCTAAATCGCTATGAAACATGTGACACTTCAACACCCTCCTGGTGTTTTCTGGCCCTTCTCTACTGTGTCATCGCGTCCAAGCCCATTCTGCCATCACCATTTATGGACGAAAGTCATGTTTCTGTCAAAATGAAGGAATGAAGGTTCTTCGTTTCGCTCTTGGGAACTATGATGTTACTGTTAAACCGCGCCAGGGTTTCCCGAATCTCAGAGTCACTCTGCCTAGTGTTCGTAGGAGATACATTTTCCAAACCGTGGAGTGCCGAATATAATAAGGTGTAACTGAGGGGAAAATCTTCAGCTGTTCGCTACATTTAACTTGTATAGTCAAACTAAGATTCCCTCTTAACTCACCTACTGCATATTCTTCTATCAAGAAACGAAAGTCGCAACTAGCAGTAACAACAATGATAAGGTATAAATCATAAATTCTCCAGCAGTCAGAGGGACAAACTTTACTGGAATCCCCTAAACTACCTCGAAATAACGATGAATTAGAGCCAAGAAATCATAAGGTCTACACAGTTTCATCACATAAATATTGAACGAATGTGTTGAACATTGATTGGTTTTATTGACTTATATGTAGTTAACCGCAAAGTTTAGTAATCCTTTGTGATGTCGCGCAGTGACGTACTCGTCTATGTTTTATTTCATACAGTGGCTATATATAGTGTATCGGAGGGGTTCAACAGACTGAACCTAGTCACATCAGTCGACCAATATATGAATTTATGTCTTGATGGAAAATATCACAAGGACAGACCAACTATAGAAACTGGATTGAATAAATCAGTTGTAAGTTTGAAATAAAACTAGTTAAGGCCAGTGCAACTCATGGGCATCTTTATCTTGTTGCAGTTCTATGAATTTCAATAATGCATCAAGTACAAGTCTTTACAGTTTTACTCACTCACATTGTGGTAACATGAGTGAAAAGTGTCAGCAAGTATTCATAAATGATCTGTGCTTCTACCAATGTTCCCCAAACCTTGGTCCTTGGCTTGTCAAAGTCACAAGAAAAATTAGCAGCGAAAGAATGTATCACGTTCCTCTGTGTCAATCTGAATGTAATTACTGGTGGGATTCTTGCAAGAGTGATAGCACGTGTGTGACCAATTGGCACACACATTTTAATTGGTCAACTGGTAAAAAAATAATCAGTTTCAATTTATATTTTTGATTCAACTGAGTGTTTTTAAGTGTGATGTTAGCAATTTTCTGTTTTATATTTGTTATTCTTCCTAGGATATTTAAACTCATTTTCTTTAGAGGAACTCACTAACTTTTTAGTACTTCATGTACCAGATATTTAAAATCACTGTCAAATGCAAAGACAAGTTTTGCTGTTTCTATTTCGAACTTTCTTGGAAGGAGAACTCCTATTTCTGTGTGGAATAGGTTTTGACTGGATACAAAATAAACCAATGCTTGCATTTAAGAGTTACTGATGAATTATCCCAAGTTAGACGTCAGTAAGGCAGAACAGTTTGACATCGTACTTTTAAGAGCTCATAGTCCAAAGAGGAAATGTCACTATCAAAGACTGGTCATTAGACAAATAACAATTTACTGTTTTAAGGGAACATTTTCTTATCAGAAAATTAGAGTGAATGCACTTCATCTATTCTTTTGTATTTATAGAGTTCTTATCCCTTCGTTTTCACAAATATTTGACGGTTTGTAATAGACAAATGACATAACTGTACGTTTATCCTAGTTTAATACAGAGAAGTTTGGTTTTCTATCTCTAGGCAATGAATATGTTAATATAATGACCTGTTTTTCATCGAACAAATGGTTTGAAATGTTTCCCAGTCACTTCCTACGTTTTAATGTGCTTGTTTGTGGACCACATCTGTTGTATGAATATTAATGGTACTAGGTGGATAACCAAGCCTCAGTAGTCACAAAAGTTCTAGACTTTTAATCCAAAGTGTGATGAATCTAGCCACAACCTTGCCATGCATACACTGTTAGTGAGATTAAAACCAGGTTGGAAAACGTTTTGGCTTTTTCTATGAATTCATATGATTTGTGACTGCTAGTTTTAAATACGTTGGTGTTACCTTAATGTTGTTCTCAGCCAACTGGGAAAGAATTACTGAAGACTCTGACTGATGCGGAGCAGATTCGTTCTTAATGATACAAAGTGTTTCCGCCACGCATTTTCATTAAGACTCTGGATATCCTGACTCATTTCCGTTTGAGTTTTTGTTTTCCTTCGATCTTTATCTATTTAACTTGAATTAGATTTCCCTTATTTACTTGTATGTATCGTTTTTCAAGGTCCGATACTTAGTGCAAAGTGACGTGTTGATAAGTTATTCAGGAATTAAATTGCTTACTTACCTGTAATGTAATTGCTCAAATAAATTTTGCCACAGATTTTTATCATAAATATATATATATATATATAATACAGTACTATATATATATATATATATATATATATATATATATATATATAGTACTGTATTAACTTCACCTAGTTGCCTAGCTGGTATTAACCAAGGGTGAAGAGGAATAGCTCAGCGTGAGTCTAGAGATCCTACCCTGGAAAATCTGTCGAGCTGGTTCAGAAACTTCAACGCACAAGAAAAATATTAAAAACATAAAAACAAACTTATTTTTCACTGGAATTAGAGAGACAAAATGACGCGGGCTAGTGAAATCCTTCGGAGAGCGAGTCAGCTGATGTTTCTTTCTTTGATGAGAGCCAACATAAGCACGGGGACAGTATTAATAACAAGTACTATATTGATACATTTCTTAGAGTACTACCTGGGTAACAGGTCATTTGTAGATGGATGGAATTTCGAAATCGTGATACACTGGCTGTTGTGCGTTTCAGGCAGTGTACTATAGCTCATTCAAAGCGATTTCATACAGCCTTGAATCTACAACCCAACAATGCAGTGACAAGTTCAAAGAACAACAAGTTGAGCTACACTGAAAAAAGATAAACAACAGCTTGCAAGCTTTTATTTTAAAGTTAGACAGTATACTTCTCAAAATACCTTTTGTACAAATAACCCTATGACTTTTGCTTATTTGAATTAATTTTTAAGGAACAAACGTGTGTCCACAATCGAGTTCTTGTAGTACCATTCAGTCAATATTCAAAGATGCCAAAACGTTTTGTGAATCAATATGGGATGATGGATTCAAGGTAGTACCGGACAACGAAAATTCTGGTTGCATGGTGTTCAACGAGAGATCAGGAGTCTCTATCATAGAGAACAACAGAATAGTAGCTCAAAGAAGGGCCACGGAAATAATTGGTCTTCTAAATGGCACTTGTAGATCTTCAATAATGAACACATTATTGCTGCTACCTTTGTTATTTGTAATGATCGGACACCTATAATGAACCTTCACCTGCACAAATGAGATAGGACTTGATCGTTATGGTTGAATGAAGATTATTCGGGCACTTTTTAATTTAATTTCAGAAATATTTTATAAAATATAGCGGAGTATTTTTGACGAATAATAATAATGCTTTGTCTTTATTTGTAAATAGTGACAATAAGAACCAATCTAGGGATAAAATCTACGTAGTGTGAGTGAATAACTCATCACGGTTAAATATGGGAGCTGTTGTAATTGAAAAGATACATGAAATGAATGAAGTGCTGGTAAATTTCAAAGACAAACATCTGGAACGTCGGACACAAATCTTTGGGAACAATTTTAACTGACCAAAAAATGCATTGAAGTCACCCTCCATTCAACTGACACCTAAATCAAGAATTTGGTTCGTAGTGGTTAAATATAATAACAAATTTACTTATTTTGAAGAATACTTTGTCTGGTGAACTAGTTGGTGGTCTTAAAGACAGTAGACGGACCATATGGAATTTAGCAATCTAAATTTCCCCATTAGGATAATAAAAGAACACAGATTAAACAAATACATGTCTCTCTGAACCCATTTTGAACTGAAAATTCTTCGTGGTAACTGTTGCCGCTTGCTTAGCAATCATAGGAGTACAAACCTAGAGAACTGTGTTGGTACCTTCTAAAGAATGGTAAAGACTGAATTCTTTTACTCCATATCCATCAGTTGTGTCGATTTGCAACTCTTCAGTGGTTTTGTATTTCCTTTCCCCAAACATATTGGTCAACACTCGAGAAGACGACGGTGAGATTGTTGAGACGTTCATCTTACATAACTGTCGCCAGAAACTGAATTACAAGTCGACATTGGAATGTCTAGACTCCAAAGCTCGTACTTCACCTGCAGTTGAATTATACAGTTTGCAGTGAATTTTAAAGTGTTGTGGACAAGAATGGTTTAGCTATTGTTTTTTGTGAGTTTCGATACTAGTTATTAAGTAGCTGTATTTCCTTTGGACGATAGTATCGTATAAACCTTTCTTCTACATCGCCTGTAGGCATTTCTCTCCGCTGCCAACAAAGGAACTCTCAAAATCTTTTCAGGATAGCCTCACTCACATAATTTTCCTATTCTCCCTACTTCAAGGTTCCGGCAGTAAAGATTTTCCTAGCTCGAAACATTGAAGTACTGATAAGATTTCATTTTTATACAAGAGCAACAAACAAACTGAGATGGGTGTATTGACCAACCTATACCTTCTTATGGAAAATACCCCGCCTAAAGCTGCTGCCTGCCTTTCATTTAGCAGGGAATCGCGAGACGATCTGGTATTCTTTCTTTGTTCCATATGTATATCTGGTTTTTAGATGGACCATATTAAACGGTTTTAAAAAACTGCAGAATTCTGATCTAGAATTTTTTAAATTGTATTCTCTTTGATTCTTGAAGCTATTCGGTATCCACGTTAGTTTGTCACTTTCTGCTCTATAAATGTGAGACACAGAAGGTGAAAGCAGAAAAAAAAAGTAACACAGGGATTAGTCGTGAAATGTTAAGTAAGTCCATCTATGAGCTTACAGAATTTCATCTACGAAAAAGGGTGGGGAATGTTATACATCCCACTCAGTGGCCTTTCTCGAAGAGCGATTATAGCTGAATTAAGATTAGATTGACAAAGGCTCAAGAGTGGTAGAAATAAAACGTGCCATTACTTCATGAAATTACTGCTTGCTGGTCGGCGTCATGTGTGCTATCTGGATCAAATCCTCATGATACTTAGCAGTCAATTAGTGGAGAATTCTTTTAAAATGGTCCACTCTTTATCAGCCATATTCTGAACGTTTTGATTACCAGCTTAAATTATGCTGACGCACACCTTATCCATTACATTTCTGTTTTCTACTTCGTTGTATGCTTTTTGGAATTGTAAATAACTTGTCAGTCAATCTGAAAAAAACGCTTATGAAATTACAGATTATGTCCTGTACTTCCCATTGCTGAGTAGATCTGGAGTATATTACGTAAAATAAGCTATTCATAAAATATCTGATGTCAGCAGCTATTAAACCCACGGCTAATTTTTTGGTATGTACAAGTCACTTAAACAAAGCCATGTGATAGGTCGAATTTCTGATCGATGAAAGAAACCCATGTTCAAAACCAATCCCATTCATTTTTTAATTCTCTTTGGGTGACATTAATCCTGTCCCCTATAATGATTTGTTTCATTTGACGTTAAACTGATAATATTGCGCAGGGTTTGTTCATCTGTATGAGTACTAGTCCTACTTGTTGCATAATCTGTCCAACTACAAAATTTTTGATCTTATTTATTTGAGGTTTTTCTAACCTATAAAAACATACACTACACTACAGAGAATGGAGATGTGGCCTATTGAGTCTGAGCAATCAACTTTCAGCCAATCAGCTAGAGGTTCAGATTTCACTCCATTTAATTCACCCCAAGCGGTATATCACCCCTCACATACAATAACTGCGGTTCACAATCCGGGTAACTTGGTTCTTCTACCTAACTAACACTGAAGCGAATAAGTACAAAAATAAGTTACTATAAAATTAGAAATGAACTATGTGTTGTTGTTTCTGACTTTCATTCACTTATATGTGTGTTAAGCTAACAACAACAATATCAACAACAAAAGAAGCAGTGAAGAGTTAAAGTCAAGTCAACAAGAAAAAAATAATAGATCACAGTTTTAAATACTGATTAATGAGGAAGCAAAAATAAGACGAAAAAAAGTATAAATCTGATGATTTTGTTTGCTTAAAGGGTTACATCAAAGGACTTTTAATTTTACACCAAAATCACAAAGAATCTTACAAAAAAAACTTCACTTAATATTAGATATTATCCAAAAAATATCGACCATTCAAAAAAACAGCATCAGTTCATATTGTGAAACTTCAATAAAGTTAATGAGAATAATGAGGGTGACCAAAAGACGGTGGCTGTAAAAGTCCATGAGGTGGTGGTGGAGGTAGTGGTGGCATTTGAAAAGATGGTACACTCGTTGCTGCAGGATACGCTGTTGATTGTAAATTTGTACCTCCCAAACCAGAAATATTTGTACAAGGAGTGTACGTTGTATCACAAGTACCAGAGGCTACCAGTTGCCCAGAGGATGTCGGATGATATACTATTCCAGTTGTTGGCACTACTGCAGGACATTGCATTGTAGTTGGATTAAAACTGAGATTAGGAGGAGAAGTAGCAGGTGGATAGACCATTGAAGTTGGTTTACGATGAGCATAGGGTGGAACACTCGGGTACTGTCGGAGTACTTGGGTTGAATTGCCACTTTTATTCAAGTATTCTAGGAAAAAGGAAAAGAAAGTTTTTTATATGTGTTAAAAATGGTGAATTCACCCTAAGCTCTGGTTTAATCAGTTAGTCTGATAGAAAAATAAGACGTTTTGATTGTGTGAAAGAATAGGAGACCGGCTTATAATTGTACCCAAGTAAATTTTTCCAAATGAAGGGTAGGTATGTCGAATATAATCTATCATGGAAGTTCTCATACTATATGCATCGACACACATTTTGTAGTTCAACAAACAGCTCAGAAAGCAAAATAAAAGAATGCAACACCAAGTGTAAAGTATGAGTCTCATTGAACAGAAGGAACAACAAAATCTCAGGCAATCAGAAGATAAAAATTAGTTAATTAAAACTGCCATTACTGGTTAACCCAGCAGTTTGCTGCACTTTTTTGATTGTGGAAAATGACCGTTGAATTTGAAGAGGCTGGCCGTCTTGGACCGTCGGTTTGAGTCCCACCTCTCTGTGAATAAAACAACAAAACATCCAGGACACCCATAACCTGAAATGAATATATATATATACAAAGAAACACTGACTCACCCGGAGGATTGCAACTGTATGCTTGTGAAGCGGAATACCTTTGAGTTGAATTATCAATTGATGATAGAGAATCTGTAGAGAGATGCTGATGTCCGACTGGTGGTTGGAAGTAAGAACTGCTAGGAACCCCACTAACAGCTACGGTAGTAGTATCGGCAGCAGCAGCAGTGGTGGTGGTGACTGAGGATGGCAAGAAATATGATGCTGATATTTGTGCTGGATTCTTAGCAATGCATGAAAGATTATCAGTGCTGATAGTTTCCGCAGCACTTGTCAACATTGCAGCATTATTTTGATTGAAGGTATTCGGCGGTGCTATATGATCAAACTGTGAAGGCGAAGGTATTTCATCAGGACTTATATTTCTGCATACAGCTGATGCAGCAGTCGAATGAACAGGAGGCGATGACCGCGTAGAAGCAGGGGGAGGGGGTGGGGGTGGAGGAGACAATGCTCCTACACGAATTGTATTTTGAGGGATATCCTTCTGACCGGGCATTATAGGCACTATACCCTGTTCAGAATAGGCTTCGGTTAGTATGAATAATACAGTATCTATTGAATCCCAGTAAGCTGCATGACTTGTCAGTGCAAAGAGATATTCATTGAAACTTTCTAATGGAGCTTCCTATTGTAGGTAGGGAAGAAAAATTCAAAAGTTGGTGTATTACCCAGGGCACACAAATCGACTGTATGATAAACATAAAAACAGAATACCATAAACTCAAAGGCGAAATATTTCACATGTGTGAAACGTTTTCCTGTTATGCCTCTAACGTATTTGGTAAGCAAAGTTAGACGACAGACCTTTACTCGGAGTAAATAAGAATAATTTAGGTAAAACAAAATGTAAGAATCCTGAACAAGTTCTTCACTTTAAAATATTGCAAAAATAACTCCCAGCTCTAAACTCATTCAAATAAATATCGGTTAGATTCAGCAGGTAGAGTTAAGAGCTTTCTTCCCGTTTTAACTTCATCATTACCTGAATGAAAACCGACTGAGCATCTCAGGGTCTATTCTACTGGATAACTGTTTTATTGTATTGTGTTTTGAAGACAATAAAATTTCGGCTTAATGGTGCTCACCAGTTTAACTATTAAAGTATCTACCGAACTGACTGGAACATGTTCTAAAACAAGCATACATAAACTACTTCAACATATCATGCCAACAATATTGTTAAATAAGGTGAAAACTAAGGAAATTTTAGACCAACAAACAGCGCTCAACGAATTTATTGATCAGTGGTAGCGTAGGCTGTGTACAGAAGTGAACATAAGATCTGTAAACACAAAAATCGACTTCTCGAGGATATACCCGAAATGAATTAGAATCAACCAAACTTATATCTATCTGTCTGTAATAAACTAGACGACATATTACAAAGTAAATTGCAAAAAACAGAATTATTCCCAAACAATTATTACATTACATATGCATATGTAATATTAAACACACCTGCAAGACATAATCCATACGTCTGCCTTGATTAAGTTGACTATTAAAAGTTACATCTTCATCAATTAAATTACGATAAGTAGTTGAGCCATCTTCACAAGCACCTGAATCTTCTGACTCACCATCAACTTCATCACCAACCCCACTGCGTAAACTATCACCATATGCAATAGACGACTCAGATCTAGGCGGGTAACAATCACCAGTGGACGATTCACTTGATGCACCAATAAATCTGTATATATACACAACAGGTAGATATGAAAAAAGTAACCACTTTTTACGATTTCCTATTAAACCACTAATAATATTGATATTGATAAAGCCCAGGGTGTTCTGCGTCTCCTGAACAAAACTACAAGTACTGTGACATGAATTCTCACTCACCTGTTATGTGTTATGTCATTTATATTGAAGAAAGCATATTCACTCTTCAACGTGGTCGAATTATTCAGAATTCCTCCTTTTGTTGAATTGTTCCATCCGTTTACAAAATTATTTTCATTTAATATCATACTATCCTGTTCATTCCCTTTGTCATTTTGTAGACTTGTAAACTGTAACACTTTAAATTGAGTTACATCACTAATAATCTTTAGCCATTGGTTCTTAACGTCTCGACCACCTTAGCCTAGGAGTCTATACTTTACTATGCTGGTCAAACCAACAGACAATACCTTATGGATCAGATTGTGAAGTTGCGACGACTGAGAAATGCGTCACAAATGCCAAGTCATCGCCTTCCCCGTCGAGCAATGATAGCTGGTATAGAATTAAGTTGTTTGGTCAAATCATGACTTTGCACCAATCCATGAAGTCTTCAGATGTTAGGTTGAGCCGACCACGAACAATGCTTGGTTTCGGTCCTCGAGACTCTAAGAATTAATGGCTAGAGAATGTTAGTGATATGGTTCAAAATCGTTTATGATAGTGCAAATATAATGTCCCATATTCATTAAGCCCCCATATTTCACCCGTACATTCCTCCTAATTATGGTCCCTTTGAATTTTAGTGTGCTATATAGAGTGTGAGAACTTAAACTGCTGCACTTTTGTGCAAAGTTTAACTTTGAAAAGTCAGTCCAAATAATAAAGTTTAAAAAGGTTACTTATACTAGAAAATTAAACTTAACCTATTGCGCATAAAAACCGACAGTATGAGTGGATATCGGTTGAAAATCAAGTTTGTTTCCTAGATAGAAAATTCACTGTTTCAAATACTTAGACCTTGTTGGCACTAAATATGCAGACCAACTATTGATATTTATTTTCGGAAACAGTAATTCTGTTATTTCTATTAGTCGATTTTGTCTTCGATACTATTGAAAAAGCCAGACTCATACAATACGTTAGAAAATGTTGGTAAACATCCACTGTCATGATCTTCCTTCCTTCCTTTCGCCAAAAACCACAACTACACCTCGACATTTTGCTATGAACAGGATGGGTTTTCAAGCTTATAATTATAGGATGACACAAAACATACTAGATCACACGGAGATTAATTAAACAACAACAGCAATAAAAAGAGGATTAGCAAATTATTATGCAATATACAGAATTTTACTATTCTAAAAATTGTAGTTACCTACCTATGAGCCAAAGCAAATTCATGTAGACTACGCCAAGTTGACTGAACTGAACTGTATAGCTTACTTTTTAACTCAGAACCAACCCAGGCCAAATTATCTTTCAATTGTAAGTGTATACGTTTACGACCTTTATGATGAGGGATAAGAATAGCTTTTTGCTGAAGAGAAAAGAAATTAACGAACAAATATGTGCCATGGTATGAAGTCACAAAAAGAGCAAATTTAAACGTTGTTATTCAGTCACAACCAAATGCAAAAGTAGAGTGTACTTAACCCAATGAGTCACTTCTCTCCAGTTCATCTTTTACAACTAACTATTTGACTAGTATCATCATCTCTCACACGTCAACTGTGACTGTCATAAACCCAAAGATGAAAGAACCGACATTGTCTACAAGATGAATTGTAACAAGTATGAAAAATATACTGGTCAAAGTAGCCATTCACTTTGTCTTCGCATCATGAAAATAAACTACTTGTCAAAAGATATGATAACCACTACCTCATATCAATCTATGCAGAGAACTATTACGGACATCAATTCAACTGGAAAAATGTACAAATCTTAGACAAAGTAGACATTATGAATGCAAAAGAATTCCTAGAAACCTGGCACTCAAACCAATCTGCAATCTACACATACACACACATAGATTTAAATTTCATCTATCAAACAATTGAAAATGTTACGTGTACAAATATTAGGTCAATATAGATGAACAAGTGTAAGAAAATCTCCATGGAAAACTAATCACATTCATGGTGGTCGAGAGAGCCAGTTATTATAATCATGAAGAATTCTAAAAGCTCACTTCCTATTGAAGTTAGAACTGAAAATGTTGTCTAGAAAGACAAAGAGAACTTTCCAATTAAACCATGCAGTTCAGGAAAGACAACAATATTCGTAGCATTTGTCAAAGTACATATATACATACTGACTGCATAATTTAATGGGGATAAACAACTAGAATAATAATAATAATAATATAGACTTACTTGAAACTCTGAATCAATTAACATTTCCATCCGATAAGCAACTGGGTCGAATGGATGAAATATATTATAAAATGTTGAACATGTAGGTAGACGAAATTCTCTGCTCAATGTTCTTATCCCACGTGCAGTTAAAAACAATGGTATCGGTGAACCAAGTGTATACAAACCAGAAATATTAAAGCCTAATTGTGGATAATTCGGTAAAGCAATACCAAATCCAGCCGTAACATAATTTGCATTACTATTATTATTGGCTTGGCTTAAACAGAAACGATGGTTCTCTAACCAAAATGATGTCAGTGTTGAATGTGGCGAGATAGCACCGACATCAGTTATATTTGTCGTTGATAGCTGACAAGCTAGATCATTTGATGACGTAATTGTAGATGAATTCTCATCTGTTGTTGTTATTGTTTTATTCTTATTAGTTTTATCCAATTTAATCAATGAATGTATAATATTGTGTATTTGGTCAACATTTAATCCATTCTGTAGTAATAACTGACTCAGATGGCTGAGATTATTATCAGCGTTATTTGATGATAAATTTAACATTGAATCCAACTGGCATTTAGCAGAATCAATGTCACTGTTTATCTTTCTTTTAGTATGACCTTTGCTACTATTATTATTTTGATTATAGTCAACTATAGACCATCCATCCATATCATTTTGACCAGATGTACTGCTATGTTCACTTTTATTCTCTTCATTTATTGGTGTATTTAATGTGAATGTATTATCATCTTTCACTGGACAAGTTGACAACATTGAGAAAACAGCTGTAGAATTGTTAACATTGCTTGAATTATTACTACTGTTACTGGAAGTAATGAAAATATCTGTAGTTTTAGTACTACTACCACTAGTGCTGGTAGTAGTAGTATATGTTGTTCCAGAGGTGGATGAAGTTATACCTGTTGTCAGGTTGGCTTTAACTAACACGTCATTAAGTAATTCATCGACATAATCTACCTCACCCATTGTTGTAGACTGTGTATCGGTGCTATGTGTAGTGACAACATTACTATCCACAGTACTATCGTATGTTTCAGATAATGAATTTGATGATAATTGACCGGCTGTTGCAGTACACGATGGATTGTAAATATTTTGATGACATAATAAATCGAATGATATAACAGCACCTAAACTATGACCAATAATAGATATATTACCCTGAATACAAAAAAACAACACAAAATATTAGGATAGAGCATTTCCATTTGCTGATATTAAGTAATAGATAAATGACACTTAATCTACTGTTCATCAGTCACTAACCAGAGGTTAGTGATGTTCGGATGTTTCCCTAAAAATTCAGGACAAGTGGAGCCGACCAAGTCAGTTATGAGGAGGAAAATAGGCCGATAGTAGTGCTGTAAGTCGCAAATTGGTAAGAGTCCGAATTTGTACGATAATAATTGAACTTGTATCTCAATGGATTAATGATCAACGGGCTCACCACGTAACCTGAAGGTCCTGGGTTTGAGATCTCGGGCGGAGTGGGTACTGTCTAATAGTCTCAAACTGACGAAACAGTCACCCAGCACTCCATGGATTCTAATAGTTTGATATCTGGTGAAAGTTCGTATGATCTAACTTCAAATCAATCAGGTTAATGTAAACCAACACTTAGAAACACATGTTTAATGCTATTACCAGTGAAACTATCTCAAGGAGTCAAGTTAGAGGGTATGTTTAACTCGAACAGAATAATGAGGTGTCAACAACCACTACATTCTTAACGACAGTTTTGTAACAGGTTTATCCAATATTCTAGAGGGAATATATCTTATTTGGAAGAATAAAAGTTAAAAGTATTACGCCTGTCACAATATTATCGTTCCTCTAAATTTTACGCAGTTGGTAAAGATCACATGTGTATGCCAACTTGGATACAAGTTGTCAAAAAAGAATGTTTCTTATTCAAACGATTTTCATTGGTATCATAACACCGCCATAATCGCATTACAAGAAACGTGGTTGCATGAACTGTATGATGACAACCTTATCTCACTAAAGGACTTTATTTTATTTCGTCAAGACCGTCAATGTTGTAATAAGAAAAATGGTGGTGGCGTTGCAACTTTTATTCACTCCAAATGGTCTGTCTCAAATAACGTCTGCTTCACCTTCTCAAATGACTTCATTGACTGTATTACTGTCAAATGTCGCCCCAAACACCTCCAACCCCACAAACAATTCTATATTACAAACATGTACATTTCTCCTAGTTGCTCTCCATCTGATCTATCTAATTTTGCTGATGAATTCACCATGTTTGCTGCTGCCAACTTCGACAACTCTCTATCCGTTATTACTGGAGACTTCAACACATCGGATTGCTCCTTTCTTGAAGCTCTTGGTCACACAAACATAGTCAAATTTCCCACTCGACTTGACAAAACACTCGACCTCGTTTTTACTAATGACGAAGGAGTATATGAAACACGTAGACGTTCACCGATACATAACTCCGATCACTGCATTGTCCGCGTTTTGCCAAAAATATACAGCAAAACACATATTAAAATCTTCTCACACCTGTCTACGAAAGCACAAGAAAGATGCTACACATCTGACAACTTACTCAATCTAAGATGCATGTTAAAAGATACCAACTGGGATCTATTCTATGAAAGTACATTAGATGACTCAATCACCAATATAATGGATTATCTTAAGTTCTGCCTCGACATATGCTGTCCCAAACAAACACTGTTCAAACGCCTCGACCGCTTCTCGTCTCCCCGTCTCAAACAACTTCGCAGGCAAAAAGAAATGTTATATAAATGCAAAGACAAGTTAGGACTTAAAAAGATTAATGCTCAAATCAAATCTGAAATCAAAAATCTTAATGCTATCTATAACCAAACACTTTTATCATGCAAATCTCCTAACAGCATGTGGAAACTTTTCAATGAAATTACTGGCAAAAGTAAGCGATGTAATGTTTTTCCCTCTTGTGATGTTAATGCTCTTAATCTGTCTTTTTTACGCTCTCCTTCTACTATAACCACTTCTAACGTTACCAATCTTGTAGCTGATAACTTCCAGGACTTCAATACTCTCGATGTTTTGAAATGTCTTAAAACTCTTAAGCCCTCACATAGTCTTGGCCCTGATAGCATACCTGCATATGTTCTAAAACAATGTGCAGATGCTTTATGTTCTCCTCTAACTAATATACTAAATGCTTCTTTCTCCGAAAACGTTGTACCTGTTCCATGGAAAGACATTAAAATAGTCCCTGTCCCTAAACCTGGAAATAGCAAGAACGTAAAGTTCAGACCCATCGCCATCACTTCCCCGTTTCTAAAGCTCATGGAAAAACTAGTACTTCTTAAACTCGAACCCTCCCTTAAAAGCTTCGAAGACCCCAAACAATTTGCCTACAGACAGGGTAGGAGTACTTTAGACGCTGCAGCCGTCTTACACAACAGTATTATCTCATCATTAGACAAAGGTGCCAAATATGTCCGCTGCACGTTTCTTGACTTTACTTCTGCTTTCGACTCTGTACCTAGAAGTCTCTTGCTAAATAAGCTCTCCATGACACAAACCGAGTCCTGGGTCACTAACTGGTTGCATTCCTACTTTTCAAACAGAATGCAGTACACCGTATACAAAGGCCAATCCTCCTCTGCTGTGCTCACAGAAGCTGGTGTCCCCCAAGGTGCTGTACTCTCCCCACTTCTCTTTTCTTTCTTTCTACATGACCTACCGTCTTCAAATGACATTAACTTTGTCAAATATGCTGATGACCTAACTGTATCTTTACCTGTCAAATGTCAAAGTGACTGCTCTAAACTAAATGGCTTCTTATCGGAAATTAGCCAATGGTCCAAGGAAAACGGTCTAACCTTAAACCCCTCCAAATGCCAAACAGTTAATTTCACCCTTAGGCATAAATCTGACCTAAACAAACTGGTTAGCACTCACGAGGTGTGCAACATAGATGGCAGTGAAATAGAAACCAAGTCGGAAATTAAATACCTAGGCGTCACTCTATCTTCTGATCTTTCCTGGTCGTCTCATATCTTGACGATTTCCAAGAAAATATACCGTCTTACCTTCTACATCAAGAAGTTAAGACATTCTGGTGTAACCCAACCCTTACTCCTACAATTTGTTAACTCCCGTATTCTGCCTATTATTCTCTATTGCTCCCCCTTAGTCTTTCCTGGGCTATTGAAGAAAGACTATACCTTATTACGTAGGATGTTAAAGGTTGTCAGCAGGGTAAGCAGTTTGCCACTTAGCCAGCTTGTTAACATTCTGGTGGACAGGCACATGGACTCATGTGAAAAATGGGCGAAATCCATTTTATCTGACTCACAACACCCTCTACATTCACAACTCTCCCCATGTATCTCTTCAGGGAAAACAAGAAGCCTATATAGGAAACTATATGCCCGCACTAGTAAGTACAAAAACTCATCCATACCCTACCTAGCTCGTGTTCTGTGCGATAAAGAATGCATCAGGCATGAAACCTTTAACTTATTAAATAGTCAGTAGAACCAATGGATCTCGTCTTTCCAACTCACATCATTTATAGGTACAACGTTTTCTCGCTCTTCATTCTGTATTTATTTTTGTTATGTGCTGTTTTGTTTCTCTCTTCCTTGCAAACTCTACTTAAAACATTCTTGTTCGTTCTTTCACACTCTGTACATCTCGAACATTTTGCTATCGCTTACGCCAGTAAATATGCTAGTAGTATCTACTTTTCTAACACCTTCAAACACTTTAATTTTGGCTTTGCTACCGACATACTAATATGTTGTTGAGATAACTTTAAACTATGTAGAACTTTATTTATTGTTAATGTAAAAAACTGGATGCAATATTGTAGTAAAATGCTGAGAATTCCATTCTGTATCACAAGTACTGATTTGGAATAAAGCTTATGTTATGTTATGTTATGATAATGCGCCGTTGAAATACAACACCTACTCTTATACTACGAATTGTAAACTACATTCCTGTGACCTGTTTTACGGTATAGATCATCTAGAATTGAATAGTTTACAAAATACAACTTTGGAATGCACTGTTGAATGATATATGGCTTTAATTGCAATTAATAGTGTTCTCTGAGCTGGTTGGTTTAGTTGCGGAGCTTTCGTCGTCTTATCCTAAATAATTCGCTGAAGATGTCGTCCAGAAAGACGACGAAAGCTCCGCAACTAAACCAACCAGCTCAGAGAACACTATTAATTGCAAATCATCCACCTGAGTTACAAATCTTTTCTATTATATGGCTTTAATCTTAGTGGGAACATGAGATTTTTCCTGAGGATTGGACTTTTATACGATTACCAACTACATCATGTATGGTGTTCACTGCTAACATTTACAATACTAAATGTCTATCAATATTGAATATAATATAGCATAGATGCATGTATGCACGTTACTTGCGCAGTCATTATTATAATAATTATTATTATGCAATAACAAACTTTAAACAAAAAGCAACATAAACACTAATTTACCGAGAATTTCGGGTTACGCAACAGAAACAGATTGCGTAATCGTGTAATCTCCCTTGCCACTGTATTAACAATCAGCTGCGAGTATTTAGAGCTTGTGTAAAACAATATATCCATCAGTGTATCATTTGTAAACTGTCGTAGTTTCGGTATACTACCCAGTGTGATTTGTTCCAACTGTTTATCTAACCCAGTTACAGTATCTGAGTGCAATTCATCATGCCATAGAATAGGCAAAAATTCTACACGATATGGATGATGTGGAAAGTGTGATTGACTCAACTGTTTTGCTGTACGCCTGAAGAGATAAATATAAAGAGGGGAGGGGGATAAAAAAGGGAGAAAAACTGCAGGATCACAGCCACATAACGAAAAAAGTAAGTTAGAGAGTAATGATAAAAGAAACTAAAATAAAGGATAAAAATCTGTGACTGAAGGAGGGAGGGGAATGAAATTCACAGAAATAAGCCGTCCGCCGGAGTTATAAATCTTTATCTCCATGATTTCAAACTACGCTATATATTTTACATAACATTTTTAATAAATACTGGGAAGAAGCCGTAGCTATCACAAAAAGGCACAGATTAACTTTACACTGTTAAATAAATGGCACAGCTTCATTCACCCACTGATTGAATTGCACTGTATATACAATAGTTTGTTCTCTACCACCCAAACATACTCTAACTGAACATAATCCCAACGTCCAGTCTGACGACTGAAGTGGGACTGAGTGATCGAAAATTAAGTTATATTATTAATCTGGCTGAAAACCGTTACTGGAAAAATTACAATGTTATAGCTTTGACGGTGCATGGCACAAAGAACAACAAGGAACTCCGGCAGTCAACAAGCCAGTAAATATGCGGAAGGAATTGGCGGTTGAGTGACACTACGTTCCCGGCCCCCGACTTGAACCCAAATGGAAAGCGACGAGTTGGGTGACCGAGGGTAACACATACAAGAGATCATGCTAAGAAGGGTCAGGGCTTATAGGCAGTCAGTCATGAAGCCAGGTTAAGGACAGTGTGTCACAGACATGTGCTGCTGAAGCCCTATGTTTCACTAACAACCCAATGAAGAAATAACACTATAATAACAGCTTAGACGCATCCATACTATACCTTCATTCTGACTATGGTATCATCTAATACAATCCACTTTACTTTTTCTTCATATATCTCCTGATATTTTCGAAAAACCTCTCTCTCTTCTGTGTACATCACTCGCCAGCAGATTAGTCACCGAGACATATGTAGCTATGAGGACATTTCTACATGAACAAATTACAAAAGGCGCGGTCCCACAGGAGGCCTAACCGATGTGAAGATTATCACTTATTAATCCTAAGGTAACCCACTTTCACGATAATGTGCTACGATTCAAGCAATTGATTTCATTTCCATAATACGACCACATACGTCACTACCTGTTGGCTCTTTCGTGCTGGTTATTGATGCCAGAGCAAAAAGAATAGTAGGAACTGTGATGTTACAAGTAGCCCATGACGAAAAGTGGGGAACCACTAACGTCAGTAGGAAACTAGACAAATACCACCCTATTATTTTGCGGAAACCCGAAGGGAAATGCTATTACTTTACTCAAATTTGACACTTGTTTTTTCTCAGATTTTTTGTACGAAAACCACAAATTACTATGCAGTATGTTAAACAATTTAATGATAAGAATAAGAGAATGAAAGAGATCACTTTCTAAATGAAAATTAACAGCGCACTCAGAATTGAGCGAAAAAATACTAGACAAATGTTTTAGAAGGTCACTGGCACGCAAATACACACGCACAAAGTCGCATTCCATAGCCTAATAAGCAAGTCAAATCAATGATATTCCGTCACTTGCATAAGCTCATAATAAGCGTGCATATATATATATATATATATATATATATATATATATATATATATATATATATATAATATGATCATCTCAGTATAAATAATCACAACATTAGTAACTGGTCCTTATGTTTTTGCTATCATTTGATGTTTATACCATGCAGAGTGGTGCGACCAAAATTAGAATATGAATCCTTATGTGCTGAAATCTTTTCGCTTGATTTAGTAGACGTGATTCAAGTACTTTATCCTTCCGGCAATATGGGCATCATGTACATAAATGAAGTAAAACATTGTGTGAGTGACTTGATATGATTATGAGCAATAATTTGTGCTCGAAACGTCATTAGTTAATATTACTGCACAACACTGTGTGATTTATTAAAATAAAATCTTATCCATAATGGGGTTACACTCTACCACAGTTTCATACTTATATCAATAAAGGCATCGAGAGATATGCCACACTTTAAGAGATGAGATGCCACCAAAATAGGTGGTTTTTTAGGGGGTTGACTCTCCAAGCCTTTCGCTTGAAGTCTGACCCGCACGACAGCAAAGCAGCGTCAACAACTGCATTCCGATGGTTGCCACCATCCAAAATAGGTTCATACACGAATTGTTCTTTTTGGATTCTGGAGCCTATGTACATTATACCTTTAGAATAAAGGTTTCAAAACTCCATTGAATGGACATGCATGCCTACTGGTTTGGGAATAAGCACTGGACAATTGAACTCACCGTTCCATTTTTGTGAGTGACATCATTCAACTAAACTTACCTAGACAAGACTATGAACGCGTGGTCACACAGGAGAATTTCGAAGGCAAGACAGAAGTCCATTCATCCTCAGCCACAACAGATCGTTCAAAAGAAACGAGGGACAAGAAAACCTAAGGTAAGCAGAACACGCTTAGTGCAGTTATGTTAAAAATTTATGACTGTGCACGTAATTAAGACTACCAGTGTGCATAAACAACCTAACAAATTATCTATTTCCTCTCCCCCTTCTTAAGATTCTTATGTAAAATAAAGTAAAAATATATCTACCATAATTTTTCCTGTTATCCATAATTACACATATCCTTTTATACTTACCTCATATCATTGACACATTCAATTAAACCTTGTCCTTTTAAATTGTACATTGAACCAATACCGTGTACAATAAAAAATAATTGATCGATTGGCTTATAATCACCTTCATCAATCTGCTCCATTAAGTGTTCAGTTAAACCACGATGTATGTGACAAAGACGGCCTTCAAATACTTGACCGGTTAAATTCACCTCTTGTGATAACTGACTTTGATTTAATTGAAATAAGGGTGAAGAAGAGCTGGCGACAACACGACTCTCTGAATTAGTTGAAGTAAAGTCATAAGGCCATGCTAAATACTGTATCATTGACTGATAAAAAAGTGGTTGACACAAAGAAAGAAAAGTAAAACGAATTACCCCAACAAAGCTTCAGCGTCTTTCAAAAAAGTATATTAAATGAGAAGCCACAAGCAAAATCAGATGTTATCGTAAATTGATGACTGAGGGATACGAAACAGCTGCATTATTGCCCCTGGAATATCAGTCTAGCGCTCGATACATTGGACTAAGATAACCAATAGATTAGGAGCTTGTGTGGATATCCGTATTCTGATGTGACTGTTACCTCTGTTTCCAATTTATTCGTCGTCTCAGGTCTGTTAAATCAAGACTGAAAAAAATTTCTTTATAGGTGAAAATACGACAGAGAATTTTGAGGAATCGACTATCCTGACAATTGAGAAAAACATTTTTTCGGACTGAGCTACGAACTCATTTTTCCAATCAAGAATAAGTAGCGAATATATGAAGGATGAACTGGCACTTTGGACCACTGCGATGTTTGTTTATTATTTTGCTCGCCCCTGTTCAACTAGTTATATGGTCTGGGGTTCGAGCCCGCGCCGACGCACACCTGATATCTATGGTCGGCCTGCAAAATTTGGGCTACCGATATCCATGCTGAAAATTCCATACTTGTACCAAAAATACAGTGTGGAATTAAGCTGTAAATCAAAATAAACTAAATAAATATTGACCGCACCAAGACCACACTTTCCAAATGCATCTCTGAAAACTACCCGGTAATTTCATGAAGAGAACAATGCAAGTTAATTGCTACCTCGATTTCCGAACATCTCTTGGAACCAGGCCACACAGCGCCATTGAAGATCTATTATGAAATAATCTACAAAGTAAGCCTAAATGCAGCAAGAAGTGTTAGGTTTCGACACTTGTGTTTCGAGGAAGTGGTATTGATCTGTTAACACAATCTTCAAATATGTATTCAGAAAAGGTTTGTACAGTCTCTCATTTTACTTTCTATTTGTTTTCTTTCACCTTTAGTAAGTCGATACTATCACTCTTGCAAGTCCCTATAACGCATTTTACTAATTATTTTTCTCATCTTTTTCACATTTGCCACGTCAAAACTCAATCGCCTTGTTTCTTATCTAATAAAAATTTTCACCTTATCAAACCCTTACTTCCATTGTGTTATTTATGACTGCGTATCTTCTCTTTACCTTTACAAACCACTTCTTAATAGCTCTATCAGTTAAATCACACTCCTCCCCGAACTACTCAGTAAATAGATTCCTATACGTCTAAGTAAATAGAAGTACGATTGTACAACTTTTGAAGATTAATTCTTCGATAAAGAACTATTTCTTCGTCCATTCATTCTCCATGACCCAATGAATACTGTCAGTCTTCCTTTCATCAAATCAAAAATGCTTTAAACATCTTCACTAACAAAAATGGAAACACATTTGTATGCAAAACTAAATATTACATTTGTAGCCACCGCATAATTACGAAATTCACCTACGGTAACACACAAACTGCTAGTGAACAACAGTTCCACAGATACTACTGTACTCAAACTTTAAATGATATTCTCGGAAGTATTTCGTCGAAATCGTGATTATCCCCAAATAAATCAGAGTGGACCTACAACAACGCTTGACAAACCAGAATCATTTCCTGAGCTTACAATTCAATCTGAAAAATGATTGCATAGGAGGCGATAAATACGATATTCTTCTTTGACATTGTAGACTTAAAAAAGCTTTAAAGAGAAAAAGAAAAGATTCCTTCCATTTAAAAAGCCTAGATCTATAGTGTTTTTTTGTTTTGAGTTAACAGATACTCATTTCAGATGTGACTTCATGATATTGGTTGGATTCTGACTAATTGCAAACATAACAATAAATAAAAAGACGTTCGTGAAAATAACCTAACCTTTCATTGCGATAATAACTAGAAAGTTAAATATTACTTAGAACGCTATTTCAGTAAAAAAACTATTTTAATAAATAAACGATTCCCATATATCCTGTAAGCTAAACACTTATTGGAATTTGTTTATTAGGCGGACAGTAGATTGAAAAGGTTCAAACTCACTGCTGAATGGTTGTAAGTCAAAAAAATATACTTGAACTAAATAGTTGGAGCGCAACACAGACTGATAGATAAAATATATGAAATCTAACGAATTCATCAAAAGAAAAGGTTCCATACAATAAATAGCTTCTAGACAGACACACACTATTTTGATAAAGTGTCTCGGTGGTACAGCGGAGGAATGCTCACCAATCACGCAAGTGGTTGAGGTTCGATCCCAGGCCGACGCACTCAACCTAGCCTAGTTAACTAGCTTGCTAGTTTTATAGCCGGTCCTAAACTCCGGTCCAAAGAGGGGGGTTGGGCGTGGGGCTAGAAACCCTACACCACAAAAGCTATCAGACTGCTGAAGAAACTTCAAGGCACAAAAATCATATAAAAAATACAAAAATTCAAATAATAATCTTATACACCGCTGGAAACGGAGAGGCGAAATGACACAGCAGAATGATGAAAACCTTCGGGAAGCCAGTCAGCCAGCCGATACATACTCTCGATGAAAACAAAAATAAAAATGGGGAGATGGAATGTACGTACAGTGTACTAGACTAGGAGGGCTGCCCAGATAGCCAAAGAAATGCGAAGATATGGCATACAAGTGCTGGGTATCTAGGAGAGCAGATGGAACAGATGTCGATTATAAAACTGTCGATTGGAGAGTCAGTAATCTACTTCGGTCACATAAAAGACAACCACGAGCACAATCAGGCAGTGAGTCATCATCATGATGTCAACAATGGCAGCCGACGCCCTAATGAAGTGGTAAGTGAGACCCTCCTCCAGGATTATGACATCAAGATTCAACTCAGAAGGAAAGAAGGAAGGAAGGTTACAATTATCCAATGCTACGCACAGTGCTACAAACAACACAAAACAAGAGAAGGCAGGTTTCTATAAACTACCACAAACAGTAGTGGACAACATCCGCAATGGCGATATTAAAATACTTATGGGCGGTATGAACGCACGCCAAACTGGAGGCTGAGAAAACAGGAAGGCAACTCATCATGGGTCGAGAGGCTCTCCCGGCAGAATTCTGCATCTTCAATGATTTGGTGATCGGAGGCAGCGTATACAAGCACAACGATATACACATGCATTGTGTCTGACGGACACACCAAAAATCAGATACATTTCTTCCGAATGCTGCTCAAGGAAGTGGCGATACAGCCAGTCTACTGGACACAAAGTCTAGAAGGGGAGGAAGGGAGGAGGACCATCATCTAGTTCAAGGAACCTCCAAGGTGAAGCTGAAATCCCTCGAAAAAACTGGAGAAAGGCTACAATTCAAGTCCGACACTCAGAAACTGAAGGACAAAACCACAAGGGATGCCTTCGCTACACATCAAATCAGAGCAAAGTCGGAGACATGACATAGCATCAGTGAGGAAACATGAGTGGAAGAACATTGAAAATAACTCTCCAAAGGTGGTTTTCAAGCAAACGTAGACAACTATGCGAGGAAGAAAGAAGAGACAAGACAAGGAACGACTCTCAGCAGACACCTACCTGGAAGCCAATAGAAGAGAGGAAACCAGGATGGTGAAAGAGATGACTCAATACGAAGATGGATAAAAGGAGGAGAAACTGAGTTAAATGTACACTACACTGAATAAGGAAAAGAACAAGAGTGCTAGGAGAGACAAAAGACAATTCTGCGACACACTGGTCAGAAACTGAAACACAACAGGCGGGACGCAGGTGCAGAAACCTAAGCACATTTTATCAGATAACCAGGTCTCTATCAGGAAAGAGATCAACCGAAATGATGAAATCCATGGATGTTCTAGAAAACCTGATTATCAAGAAGGAGAAACAAATAGGACAATGGGGAAATCACTTTGAAGGACTCTTGAATCGACCATCACCTGCAACTACCATTGTCAAGAGATACCACCACCAACGCCACGCACACAACTGTCTGCTGGTTGACACTTATCCATCGACAAAGCAGAAATCTTGAATGCGACCGAGCTGCTGAACTCCAGCCGCGAAGTCTACCAGGGCCAGACGGAATTCCCATAAACCGCAGTACTGAGGACGAACTCACAGACTACGGCAGATGTTGGAAGGAAGCAAAAGTACCTACCGATTGAAAGGAAGGTTTGCTACCTTATCAAGCTAACAAAGAGGGGAGACTTAGGCCTCAGGCTGCAAGAAGTGGTGTGTAATAAGGTTCTTCTCCACGCCAGGTAAAACACTATGTCGTGTCATCCTGGGGGGAATAAGAGATGTACATGATGCAGAACTCCACCCCTCACCGGAACAAGCTGGATTCAGGAAAGGCAAATCATGTACTGATCAAATTGCATCTCTACACATCGTGACCACAAAACAAAGCATAGGATGGCAGGAAAACTCCACCTCAACTTCATCGACTTCTATAGGGCCTTCGACAGACAGTGGTGACCGAGAAGTAATTTGGAAACTATTTCAGCACAATTCTTTATCGACTCCATTCATCAGCCAGCTATATTACAATGCCACGTGTCTGTCAGGTGATTCACAACGGAAAATGAACTCAACCAGTAGTTCGAAGTGAATGCTGGAGTAAGAAAAGCCGACTGCCTATTGTCAGCGATGATATTGTTAATTCTGGTGGACCGGATTATGCGTCAGACTGCGCGACGGGAGTGAGAATGTGGGAACACGTTGGACCGCCAATAAGAAGACTCTGTCGGTGGCATAGCGGTTAGGACGCTCGCCGACCAGACACATGGTCCGGGGTTCGATCCCCAGCCGACGCACTCCTTCGCCTTGCTAAGCCAGAAAAGTGATGGTAAAGAGGGAAAGGTTGGGCATGATGCTAGCAACCCCATCCTGTAAAATAAACACTGCTACAGAAACTTCAAGCCACTAGCTTGAGGCCCTATGTTCTACTGGGAACGTGAGGGAAAAAAAAGATCTGGACTTTGCAGGTGGATGATTCACGTTTAACGTCACGTAAACTCGAAGACTTACAGACGGCGAAGACAGGACTCTAGGTGAACATAGAGAAGACAGAGGTGGTGATGATAACCAAACAACAGAAGCAACAGTAACAACGGCCAGCACCAATCACCATCAAAGAGAGGGGTTTGATAGGGGTTACTTCATTAACTTATCCAAGCAGGAAGCCATGTTTCGACTACAGACACTAGGAACGGATATAGATGTCCAAACCAGCCAGAATCGGAATGGTAAGATATGCCTTCATCAATCTGAAACCAGGTTGGAAATCTTCTGCACTCACACAGCATAGAGGACAAGATTCGGATTTTCAACACCAGCATGAGGTCAGTCAGTCACTTCTTCTATTCTGCTCAGAAACTTGCACTGCGTGTCACGAAAAGCATTTCCAACAGCCAGTTGCAGACTCTTATCAACAGCTGCCACCTTCGCTAGCTCCATACTGAACATCAGATGGCTGGTCAGCCAGGAAGAATTAGCAACAATAAACTCTGGCTGGGAACAAACCAACCAATAGCCGATTGTATAACAAGTATGTAGGAGAAAATGGAGATGGATCAGGCACACACTACTGAGGTCGTAGAATAACATCGTGCCCAAAGAAGGCCATCTTTCGAGTGGCATCCGAATGAAGGGAGACGGGTGGGTCATCAGTGAGTGGGTGACATGGAGGAGATCGTGTGACGAGGAGGAGATGAGAGATTATTGGAAATAGTGGACCCAGCTGAAGAGGACTGCAGAAAATAGAGCAATGTGGAGATGTGTTATTGAAGCCCAATGTTAAACTTGGAACCCAAGGGATTATTATTAGTAATAGTATAATTATGATAAAAGATCGAACCACACAATATGTAATACATCTTACAGGTGTAGACTGTCCACCAAACGATAACTACTACAATTCAAAGTTTTTCGATAAACCTAAGTAAAACGGTACTATTCTATGCTCTGTTAATTGGCAAAAACAGTTTGATCCATGTGTACAGGGCACGTTGTGCATCCATAGTTCAAAGGTAAAATGCTGGTCAGCTAGGCAAAACGTCCAAGGTTAGACACCCGGCCGACGCACTACTGAACCTTGTATAACCAGTGGTATACCCGGGAAAGACGGAAGTTTGGATGTGACATCAGCAATCCCACAAAAATTACAATACCGTTACAGAAACATCAAAGCGTAACGCCCCATGATCTACTCGCAACACAAGGAATGAAAAAATTGTGCACGTTGGAGCCAATCATGAAGACGCATCTGTAGTGGTGAAAAAACTAATATCTCCTTCATGCATATTGTTGGCGGTAAGCGTATACAGATCAGTTACTAGTCTAGTGTAATCAACAAAGTGACACATGAATTATCATTTTAGAATGTAGATGTGCAAGTTATAAACTTACTTGTGGACTATAGAAAATAAATACATCATTACCACCACGTCTATCTTCTGATGGCAGCTCAAAACGTTTACCCCATTGACCTTGTTCTACACTCAGTTTATACTGAGCTTCCAATAGATCACATATTCGCTCGGAAAAAGGCAATACACGTGATTCACCCTGAGGTCTGAAACAAGGAATCGAATCTTTCTTATGAGAAATAATTAATACAACTGAGCACATGGTTAAGATCGAAATTAATAGAAAATAGAAACAAGGGATGGCGACCATAGCTGAAGGTGGCGCCAGCTATTGTGAATCGGAAGAAATCAGAATTCAAGGGAATGGCCATTAGACTTCCGACACAGCGGTTCATTGGTAAACAGGCTGGCCCCGTAACCTGAAGTTCCTGAGTTCGGTCATGGGTACATACTGCCGAAAAGTAGCAAGCTAGGAGGAAATAACTAACCAGTCCTCCATGCTTTTTAATAGTTCTCCATCTAATATTAGTTCGCGATCTAGCTTGGAATCAATCAAACTTTTGCAAACCAAGGACTGAAAATGATGGAATCAATTTGATTGGTTAAATCTTATATTTCCCCTGAAGATTACTTTGTGTCAGGGTTCTTATGGCATTAATTGCTAGAAATCAGTTACGCAGTTCATATTTCTCATACAACAGGGTGTGGGCTACAAACATTGACGGTTGATGCTACCCAGGGTCCTAGGTTGAAGTACCTGAAGCGGCGCGTTCGAAACCAAGACCCGTAAGTCGAAGGTCGACTTTTTGAGCCACACACACTACACACCATTTTTCATGATGCTGCTGAACTTCTCAGTCTCAAAGAGACGAGGAAAAACCTAGAACTATCTTCTGGATTGAAAATCAAATGATTTAACTTAATAGAACACGGCTTAGCAATGAACCAAGTGTAAATAAGCCTCTCTTATATTCATGAATTATGTGAAATTTTTCTACGCAAAAACCCGAATCAGTAAATAGACTTTTTAGAGTTATTCAATAACAACAGGTAACCATTCATTCTACTGGTAGCGTTGTAAAGGAAAAGATTTGCCGCAAAACAGTACAACGTAGTAATGAAATAAAATACAAAATAATTTTCACAAGTGACAGATGAAAATGGCATGCAGTTGAACTTTTAAGCTACTCGATAAGCATGAGTAGTATTATTATATTTACGATAAATCGTTCCTTGCATTCCGAGTGATGAAACATATAACCTTAGCAGAACACCTTCATTAGACTCGGTCCTCTGTCGTTGCTTTTAGCTGGCTCCACGACTGTCCACAAGCTTTCATCCCCCCCTCCTTCACGTGATCTCCTCTATGTTAATCCCATACGCTTAACTAGCTGCTTCCCACTCAGGTTCTACTCAACAGTCTTATCAATGAATGTTAAATGCACCTCCATTTTCATATGAGTAATTGTTGAGCGATATGTTTTGGCTGGCTATTTATCAGAGTTCGTTAATGTTTGCTTATCTTTTCCAGTTGGCCATCAGATCTTCAGCGTCGGGTGGAGGCATTTGTAGATGAAAGTATCCAGGTAGGCCGTCTTCAACTACCTGTTATATATCCTGAAGTATTAAGATAAGTACAGTAACAGGTTGGTAGCCCTGGTGATTACTGGTTAGAATACCGTGATGTTCTGCATTCCCTGACAACTTCAATCATCATCCGTTTTTGTAGGCGTTCAGCTTGTCTAATAGACATTTGGAAAACAGGTGTGTTACACAACATTCTACTTATAAGTAGCTAAATTCCTTATGGTTAAATTTCCAGAAATGTATATTCTTGTCTGTTCAGGTGGACATTCACTCGGGAGACCTTCAAGCAACATCACATACCATTACCCTGAGTGGATCCCGGATGGGAAAAGACGGGTTGAGCTTCTGTTGATAACACTGAGATCATGTGAAAAGGAAATGAAGGCTTGTATACAGTCATTTATGGAGCCAGGTGAAAGTGGTGACACAGAACCGAGTGTAGTGGAAATGTGCTGCTGACACAAGGAATGGACATTTATAATACTCGGTTCGGTTCAAATGTGAATAACAACGTAAGCACGGTACGCACCATAAAACACATAAATTTATTCATTATTATAATAGACATTAATGCTTACTTATAAAACCATGTAGCTCTTCGAACCTCACTTGGCTGTTCTTCCCAGTAAACTGATCGTCGTTCCCTTTTCTTCACGTAAACATCATACCGACCACCATCAACTTGAACAATTATTTCTTGAGTTTCATTCGCTCCAGATGTATAAGACAAATCATCATTAGATATTGGCAAAGCATTTGATGTAGATGATAAACAATAAGAACGAAAGAATTCTGTTTCGATTTGATAAGAATCATGACGTGAGAATGGCCACCATATAGATATATTGTCAACAATTGTAGAGTAGAACCAATACGCTCCAACTGGATGATATGTGGCTGGAAGGTGTATATATTAGATAGAAAATATTATTATGCAAGCAGACTGTTCGTAGTTAAAACATGAAAGTTGCATTCAACCTGACAGAGCATGCAGGAGGGTAGTGAACAGTCAAATGTGATTTAAAAGACTCCTTGAATTAAGTAAGAGGCTATCAAAACAGTTGTTGACTTCATGAGATACTGCTGGCATTATCTCACACACTTAGATGTATCATATTTTAACACAGTACAGTACTCATAACTTGTGTGAATATTAACTATTAAAATGTGTTTACATTTGGCCACAGTAATAACAACTTTGTGATAACTGTACTATGAAAGGATGAATAGTAGACAGATAGATAGATAGATAGATGGACAGAATGCAACCATCTCAGATAATCAAATATTTACAGACACTGAGATTAGAGAGACCGTCTTGGATTCTCAACGACATTTGTTCCAAGAGGTCTTAATATTCTAGCATTAATTTCGGAAATATGTAAGTGTATATAGGACAGGTCACGTTCTCCTAAGCATATTCATTTCTCATCAAGCTAAGAATCAAGCACAACCCACTGCGGCAACACCAGACTAGGTTTTGACCAGTTGAAGTTCAAATCCAACTAATTTAGCCTTGGCAACTGGGTAGTATTGTGGTGAGAGCTAGCTGTTAGCCAAAATTGGTGGACAGTAATTTACGTCAATGTTTATGTCCCCAATATTGGTCGTGAGGAAAATGAGAACAGAGGCTTTGCGCAGGCGGATACAGTTAACATATAGATGATCTGACATTCAAGAAACAGCCAGAAAGAGATGCAAGGTTAACTTTCTGTGAGAAACAACCAGCAGAAGACTGTGTTTTTCTGCTAACTATAATCTACAATATGTACATGAAAATCTATAAATATGTGATTTCCTTACTAAACGATCTGTTGCCTGGCCCTTGTCTTCTGTTGTTACAGTATTATCAATAAGTGTGGCTCGTAGCCCGGTACAATAAAGACCTGTTTCGTGAAATGAGTTCAAACACAAATTTGGAGATGTTTTTTATTTACGGTAAGGTGTTTTTCGCTTACATCAACTGAGAAAAACGCTACATCTACCGAAACGAATCTACTGTACATCTTCACATTCATGAAAACACACCAGTAGCTAAATGACATGACAAGCATTGATTCATGTCAATTCATATGGAAATCTACGAACATTATTCCAACTGGGCTGGGATATAATGTAAATATCCTAGACAGATGAAACACAAAGAAAGTGAAATAATTACCAAATCAATGTGCGAATACTGGACATGTTGATATAGACTGACCGAGTGGATTTCAACACAGAACTGTGAAAAAATATAGCACCTCAAGTTACCACACTTCATAAGTACACTATTGTAGAGTAAACAACGCAACGAAATTCAGTGGACAGAAACGTACAAGAAAAACAATACGTAAATGGAGAGAAATGAGAATGTAATGGGAGAACATAAAGAGTGAATGTATCCGCACCATGTAACCAACAATTGGTTCTTTACGTGTTGAGGACTCCAGCCAGGCAACCAAACACAGTCACCGCAAACAACGAATGATTCGTCCATAGAGAGTTCCTAAAGCTGAAGCTGTTGCCTAGATGGACAATGAGATCTTTGTGATTAAACCACCCAGTCCAGACAACACAATAATACCGAAATCTCCCTTTATTACTCTGTTATATTTACCTATGTGAATCTTTCTTTTCTGTCACCTACAACTCCTATAATCAGCACTAAAATATAACCAGAGAAGTAAGTTGGTGATTTAATCATTTGAGTATTGATTACCAAAGCTACTACCAATAAATTCAGTTATTCAAGTGTTGGTTTATTATTATCAGTTATTATTGATCTAATCACAAAAGTAATGATAATTAAATAAATAATAATAGAATAAAAACCAGGTGTAAGGCACATGAGATTTTCTTAGAAAAAACGTATAAAATACTTCCGTTTAGGGTACATGGGACACCTGAATAGACACATATACTACAAAGCGTATAAACTGTCTTGTTATATTAAGTAAAAAGGTAAATTTCTCTTTCATTTATGCGGTATACTTATGATACTGTAACGACAGAAGACAAGGGCCAGGCAACAGATCGTTTATTGAGAAAGTGTACATTATTGTCAGTGGAGGAGAAATGTCTTCTGATTGGTTGTTTTCCTGTTGAAGGGTATTCTGTACTGCCTGTGATCGTTTCTCAGAAAGTTGAGCCGTATATCTGCGAATCATATTCGCACATGTTAAGTCTTCTGTGATTGGTTGGTGAGTTACTCAAGGTTAAGCTCTGTTATTGTTTTACTCATGATCCCGATTCAGGACGTAACATTGACGTAAATTGCTATTTACAATTTTGGCCTGCAGCCAGCTCTCACTACAATACTACCTAGTAGACAAGGCTGAAGTAGGGGGAGCGGGATTCGGATATTGACCAAAATGATGTAAAAACAGGCGCTTAAGCAACGTCTCCACACAACACGTAAAGCCAACAAAAGAGAAAAACATGAGAACACAATGAACAAGGTAGATTCCGTTATTAATAACATCTCGCAAGTAATTAGTCAACATTTACGGACTAAAGTGAGTCCAATACAATGTACAATTGCTTGTTGATTTCGGTTGCTTAACACCACCTGAATTTTATCGTGTTCGTGACAATATGTAAAATCAATTGGCAGAATTCGATTAGCATTATGAGACTAGAGAAAATGTAACATCGTCTACCGACACAGACACTGAATTATTCGTTGAAGAGCTCATTAGCTGCGACAGTGAGTTCAAGAACTTAGATGTCTGAAGAGAAAATAGTTAACTAGAGGTTACAAATGTGCTTTGCTGACAAATACGATGCCCATATCACAAAGTCTTGCCAAGTAACTACAACCCAATATGTAATGACTTCGTTCGATCACTTCACCGAGCAATATTATTAGAATGAGCTGATGACTGAGTGAGTTTCAACGCAGAACTTTTTAAAAAAGGTGCAACAGTTTAATTTTCCAAACTCTATACAGAATACAAAGATAATGAAAGAGATTTAACGGGAAGATAATGAGTAGGAATGTACGAGAGAGACTAATTGCAAACCGAATAATGAGGATTAAATGGCTTTAGAAGACTAAAAGGAGCGAACAAATCAGTGCCATTGATATTGGTTTTGAGTCACATCACCAACAGTATCAAGTCATCGGTCTTACCGCCTTGTGGGCTGAAGCCACACTGTCTACACCACTTTACGTACTAAAGTCTCGTCAACAATCAGTCTGTTAAAGCTGGTGTAACTTCTCAAATAGGTGAAATGGTCAACATGCTCTACCACTTCTCTCTCTATCTTCGAACTAGGAGTCAATGCACACTAGCCTTGCAGCATGATTTTACATTTGACAGGGAGGAAATCATGAGTATACACCAAGTCAACAAGACTACACCCTGGCAACAAATTAATCATTGGGTTAATAAAGCTGACTAGGGGGTCACAACCACCAGTTCATTTATGATGAGCTTAAACAAAAATGACGACAACAGACACCACCGATTATCATTTATTCAGATGACAACTCTCCGTAAGCTCTTACACGGCTACTTGAGTTTGAGTAGACTGCCTTGATTAATGTGATATACTTTCTCGTCCAAACACTGCCACAGCACCTTTTGGTGGAATACCGCCTACAGGTTAGGAAACACGGCAACTGTTGGATATCAGTAAGTATACCTATGATAAAGAATCCGTTGAAAGGTGAAGACACGATCAATACACCCTCTTCCTGGCTTAAAGTCTAACTGTTTCCCAACGATCTTTTTCTCCCAAGCATTGTTCAGTCTACGCAGGATTATTGAACCTACACCTTTAGATACTCTGTTAGTCAGGGTATTTCCCTAGTGATTATTACAGGAAGACTTATAAAGTGGGGTAATCAATAACTTGCTGTCTCAGAAATATGAAATACATTTAAAGTTCGAGAAGCTAGGGCCTTAGCTTATTGCAAAAATTGTATACATGTACGTGACTACCTTATTATTCACTTCCCCAGAGTGGGAAGACAGAACAGACGACTTGTGGGTTGTCCAACAGTTGCACTTTACTCCATACACCCTGAGTAACAAGCAACACAACTTCCCCAACAATAGTGACATCGATTTACACTTCGCTTAAAGTTTGTAGTAGGTGGTTCATTGGCTTAGGCACTCAACTTGAAACCAGCGGGCTCCAGGTTCGACTTCGCTTCACTTCAGGCTTGTATCTGAGTATTGTCAACTTTCACACCATAAGTGCTGGCCTTAGCCTGGTACATGAGAAATCTATTCCAGATAACGAATTTAAAACACGCAAAGTTTCTACGGCATAAACACTCATCTGAAATGCATGTGATACATACGTAAGTATACTCACCTGTCGGTATGGAAGACGATATTATTGATGTTGGATTAGCTACTTGAGAATAAGATTGTGTAACCTGGTCTGTTCCCGATGGTAAAGAAGTATAAGCAGTTTTTATACCATCTGATGGATTGCTTGGAATTAACAGGTAAGACACTTGATTCGGTTCGGAAGTTGGAGGTATAGGTGGAAATGCATTGCATGGCATATTGGAAATGTTTGTTGCTGTTGAAGTTCTAGAAGTAACAGTGCTGATATCTGGTGGTAAGACATAACGAGGTCGTTGACCCGATTTGACTGTCATAGAACCCGACGGTTTGGGCTTTATTTCAAATATGAAGTTAGAAAATTACGAACATAGAACACGTTTATAGGCTGATTGATTAACAATCTGTATAAAGTCTATTATACAAAGGCATTTCCCAAAGAATCAAAAAGAAAAATATGTCCTTGCAGATGTTTCACTATTCACTAGCTGACAGCTTCATCAAAGTAGCAGTAAACCATAATTTATAAAATAGCATGTTTCTGGGTAATAGAGAATGCTTAACACACTTGTGTTGACCACGGTTTAAATTCTGTCTTAACCTGTCAATCCCATTCAAAATATTTGGACTCCATTTCATGTAAAATGCTTTTATAAGAAAAGGCACAAACAGCGAGGAAAATTTTCTTTTCGACGATTCATTTTCATGAGCTGTACAATTGTAATTATAATTAAACACATAAGTTTTTGACCAATCAGATACTGGTAAACTTTGTCCTTGAAAATTCTACTACATAATGTGAGGTGTAAGAAGGGATGACTAATTGTAAGTTAGAAAGGAGACAGAAGTTGGCATGACCTAATAAGTGTGAGATAATGACTAATCAATAAGCTAGTGTAGAGTGGACAGGAATTAGTGGAAAATGCTTTTACTATGAGACGTTAAATCTGTCGCCATATACATTCTAACTTTGTTTCTAATAGACAATATGCCTTCTGATTTGCGTAGCTTTTCAATACTATTTATCTTCGGTGTATGCTTTAGTGGTTGTTAAAGAGGCATAAGTTGAATAAATTTATTGAAGGCCACAGATAATTGTGTTTAAAAGAAATACATCCAACAAACTTTATTTTCAATGTCGCGTCGCCCGCTTGAAGAACTTCATGAATCCCCCTGATGCCTTGATAGTTAACATGATGATTTTTAAGTGATTTTTGAGTGAAACGACATGATAATTTGAGTGTTTATCAGACAGGATGAATGAATTCTTGATGTTTTAGGCCAGATATCGATGTTATATATGTCCAAACCGAGCTCACTTTTAACAATTTGAAAAAATTTGGGCATTGGGTATATGATATTCACTATAATAAAGTTTTTTTTTGTATTTCCCAATGAATCAAAAACAGAACGATATTGCTTTTACTGACGTTTCTCTATTTAATGCTAATAGCTTTATAATGAATAATGCATACATATAATGCATAATGAAAAATTTCAGGAATCATAAAGAACGTCTAATATCGGAAGCACTTCATTTCAAGTGAAATCCAAATTGTCTGAATAGGAATGATGGACTAAAACAGGATTTGACCTGGTTACAACACCTCCCTTCCCCATGAAGTGACAAAATCAACACAAATGTGATAAGCAATTTCATTATATAGACACACGCTGCTTTTATAATTTTGCACACTTATCAAATCCAACAATCTACACCTGGTTGTGTTATTTTTACCAATTGGCCAATTTGACAACGAAAAGGTGACCCCATACTGAGGAACGATGATTAAGTAGTCATATATATGCTGAGATTTTGTAAATTCCGGTTTAGTAATACTTTGATAAAGCTATTAGCATTAAATAGAGAAATGTCAGTAAAAGCAATATCGTTTTGTTTTTGATTCACTGAGAAATACAAAAAAAACCTTTATTATAGCTACCAATGGTTCATTTCGTGAAATCCGGATCCGATATTTCCATTGGTTATATCAGATGGAATTTTACAACTTAATCATTTTCGCATGTCAATATTGATTATTATTATTTACATGAAAACTTGTGCGTCAGTGGCACAGCGGATAGGACGCTCGCCGGCCATGCCCATGGTCTGGGGTTCGATACCCTGCCGACGCACTCCTTTACCTCGCTAAGCCAGAAATAATGCTGGTAGAGAGAAAAGGTTGGGCATAAGGCCAGCAACCCCATCTTGTAAAAAATAAACACTGCTACAGAAACTTCAAGCCACTAGCTTGAGGCCCTGTGTTCCACTGGGAACGTGAAGGAAAATTTTAAAAAAAACATGAAAACTTACTACAGTGTAGGCACCGAGATGCGCCATAAACAACAATTAAACAATTCATGGAAAAGAAATAGAATGGTTTATGAATAGCATTATGGGAAGCAGACAATTATACTTATCAAGAGCGTGTAAGGAGTATTTATCACCTGACGTTAATTTCAGAAAATGATGCACCAAAGGATGCTAACCTAATAAAACTATCCTTTATTCCACGGCGCCATATTTTCACGTATGTGGTAGTTCTAATGGCTCACCTGCTCGGATGACTACAGGTGCAGGTTCCTGTCAATCTTGCGATAACACATTCTACTCAAGTGGTGAAAACCACATACAATACTTACAGAAACCGATTGCTATCTGATTAAGTGAGATCTAAGCAGTGCTTATGTTATCGTACGATAAAAATCTGCACACTCAGAACCAGGTTTTGAAATGTTACCCGATAACCAACTGCGATCCCATGGAGTTTGCAATGAGCTGTACTTATTGTGTGAGGTCTAGTGATACCACTTAGTTACCCAAACCCCGGTAGGTGGAGTGGGATTCGAACACACGACTGAGTACCTGAACTTAAGCACCTAGACCAATAGATCACAGCTTCACACGGTGGTAGATCTACAGCAGTAGACACACCCTTCATAGATGCCTCTAGAATGCCAACGTCTACATTTCACCCCACGCTTATTGCAGAATTAAAATATACTTGTATGACTTCTTGAAGTCAACCTATCGGTGTGGTGATCATTCGAATTATAAAATCGATAAAATAACCACATGGCTTTTCAGAAATACAGTGACTACATACTCTAACACTTGTAAATAAGTAGCTGATAAAGTATATAAAAATCCTGATTTGCTGGTTGAAATTATGCTATGATTTTAAGCTTTCATATATGCAAGCGGCGATTGACAGCTTGGAAAAAGTATGTAGGACAAAGTTTACAGAAGGCATACAAGTAGTTCATCTATCCTCATTCAGAAATATATTCTTTATTCTTTCTTAACTACAAAAAAGTAGACAAATTCTGTCTTTTTTATTTTGATTTTAGGTCAGAGTTTACACTAAGTCTGGATAATATGTGGAAAAAATTGAAATACGACGTAGTGGACTGAATTCGAACACTACTGTATTTCCTATTCGAATTATGATATGTATCCATATGATGTGTGTGTTTTGTTGTTGACAGTCAATTACATTTTGCTGTGTATGTGGATCGATATTCCATTATAACTGACAATATGCTCTTTTCTGTCCACTAACTAAGTAAATATGTATGACCTTGTCACATGACATTACAACCAATCATGTTAAGACTGTCTATTGATTCGTTCATTTTTGAACATTCGCTCATACACTTGTGTGGCATTGATTTTTCCTTGTTTGAAAAATACAAGTATCATCGTGAACCTGGTGGTTTCCTGATTTCCGCCTTCTTGCGTCAGGACTATTAATTACTCGACCAGAACATAACAATAATTTGGTAGCATGGTATGGATTCAGATTGCCTGAAGGTGAAGTTGAACCAGTCTGTTGGTTGACGAACATTTCCATCAATTCATTTGTTGTTCAAATAGTAATTCCAATTTAGAAAAATCCATAGTTTTCCCCGTCGCCAAATTATTATGTACTGGTCGAGTAATTAATAGTCCTGACGCAAGAAGGCGGAAATCAGGAAACCACCAGGTTCACGATGATACTTGTATTTTTCAAACAAGGGAAAATCAATGCCACACAAGTGTATGAGCGAATGTTCAAAAATGAACGAATCAATAGACAGTCTTAACATGATTGGTTGTAATGTCATGTGACAAGGTCATACATATTTACTTAGTTAGTGGACAGAAAAGAGCATATTGTCAGTTATAATGGAATATCGATCCACATACACAGCAAAATGTAATTGACTGTCAACAACAAAACACACACATCATGTGGATACATAACAAACTATACAATAAGCCTTTCGTTCAAAATCATCTCAAGTATTTAAACTTATCTTAAATTCACATGAACTTAGTTAAGCATGAAAGCGAATCTCATTATCAAAGTTTAACGATGACAACCTGGTTGAAATTACTTCTTATAACCCCTATAATTACACATCGGTTGATTATATGGCACTTTAAACCATTTCGAAATGAGCCTGTCTGGATACTGATCTAATACCTTTTGTATAAATGATAGTGGGAATACTATGTTAGGAACGGCCATGATCTACAGTAACCTGCTATCCCTTAAACTTGATGATGTTAAGAACGGACAGACGAAAACATTGAGTCACTAACTGCTAAGATGAATCACACACAAGCGGGCGGTCAACTTAGGCACTCGAAATGTTGCGAACCGAAGGTAAAATGGAGTTAACGACATGGTTTGATTATCATAGCTTATTAAGCTTATTCATCTAATACCTCTGCTAGAATTTATGCGCCTCACCACTGTTAATCCTGTGTGCTTTACTTAAGCTCTTTTCGCCACTTTCATCTTGATTTCTCACTTTTCCATACAACCCTTGGTGGATTCGAATCTCCCGATTTCACAGTGTATTGTCGTAAGATTAACTGAATTGAAAAATTCATGTGACACTATTACTAGAGTTACTTCTGGAATTGCAGTTCTACACAAGCACTATTCAAGGCACTATATTTTTTCCACTTCTTCAGGAGCTTCGTAAATATCGACCTACGTTAATTCGAATGTTATTGTACTATGCCAGTGCACTTTATACCTGAGTGTATAAGTAAAAAAAAGTGCGGGTACAATATTGGTTCACTCCAAAAGTGTATAGGTTGTTCACGTGGTAACTCTGATGCACACAGGAATAAATATAAATACGGTATAATGAAACCAGAAGTTAGTTTATGGCAGATCTGCAGAGAAAAATCTTTGCAACCTAAAAAAGCAGAACGAAGTTAAACTTTAAGAACCAGTAAGTACCAACGAAGAAATGATCTTGAATGCACCTATCATGAGATAGAGGTTAGTTCTACGTATAAAATATATGCATCCATGAAAATAGTCAATTTAACGGCATAAAAATGTTACACAGGATATTTTTCTTGGACGTGAGACAAAGATACCTTCCAGTTCTGGATTACTATCAAAAGAGTTATTTTATTACATGCTATACATGCTCTTATCTAGGTTTTCTAGCACTAACAGCAACCATAATCTTTATATATGTCCAAACTTGACAGCCAAAAATAACCCCAAACTAACGAGCGATGATCAAGTTAGAAAACTTTGCCTATTTTTCTCACCCCTTAACCCTTTGCTATACACATGCTGAGATTTTGTAAATTCCGGTTTAATAATACTTTAAGGAAGCTATTAGCATTAAATAGCGAAACGTCAGTAAAAACAATATCGTTTTGTTTTTCATTCATTGGGAAATACAAAACCCTTATTATAACCACAATCTTTCCCTAAATTAACCCTAACGTGAAAAAATCACTAAAATAACCCTAATCTAACTCGAAAGAGCCTTAATGTCTTCTTCATTAGTCTAACCAACTCCTTACCTATCATTAGTCTAAACCTCAACTTCATATTTCCCGAAGCTAGCCTGCAACTAACCAGATATCCCGTTTAATACCATAACACTTCACTAGGCATGTTATATTGAAGATTAAAATATTATCTGCTAGCATTTAATAACTTGCTCAGTGAGCGTTTCAGAAACACTGGTGCACTGCACTCCCTATAGGTATCTACTAGTGCTTTAAATTTAACCTGGCCAAAAACATGCACCTGAGATCTGAAACCGTGATAAAACCACATGCTGGACGAACAGAAGAATCCATTACTTTGATTATTTAACTTTTTTAGGGTTTACTTACTATGGAAGGAGGGGGAGACTTCGTGTCTTCCGTATGACCACTATCTGACGACATCAAATTCACACCAGGAAACCTTTCACCATAGCCTGAGACAAGTCCTTTTGTTTGATTTTCATTTTCTCCAACAAATGAGGCTAATTCTTCAGACTTGACAGGTGAACTAATCTGTGGAACAAGTGTTGGACCGATAGGCAGCGAAGCTTGAGACAAGCTGAGTGTCAGGCCTGATAAGTTATGAGTATTACTTTTCGGATTAGACTGTCTTTCGCAGTTCATTTCTAAAGAATCACACTTAAATAATCCAGTATCACTATTCTGGCTTCAAACAATCAACCGATTCTACGAGGTTAAAACTGCCAACGTAGGTTAACGTCAATTTGAACTTTTGGTTAAGCTCAAGGTTATCTGAACCACGACCTAGTGCCTAGTTAAACGTTTTTCTAGTTACATTTTACAATTCGCTCTTATGTGTGCCCGATTATCTTCTCCTTCGTTTTTTATTGCTCCTGATCTATTTTTTTCCAAGCTGTTGTCTCTGAGAGGTAGTTCTGTGGACACGAAATGAGCTGAAGTTCTCAATACGTGGTATTGAGAAGAAATTCGAAACCTTAAAAAACCAAGGCAAACTCTCTAAGTATGCTTGAAGGACTAAGAGATTTTCCACCAAAGTTTCAAAATCTATCTCTCACTCGTCAAATTTTGCTGAATAACGTTATTTATTAATATTATTCCCTTAGGTTCCAAGTTTAACATTGAGCTTCAATAACACATCTCCACATTGCTCTATTTTCTGCAGTCCTCTTCAGCTGGGTTCACTATTTCCAATAATCTCTCATCTCCTCCTCGTCTCACGATCTCCTCCATGTCACCCACTCACTGATGACCCACCCGTCTCCCTTCATTCGGATGCCACTCGAAAGATGGCCTTCTTTGGGCACGATGTTATTCTACGACCTCAGTAGTGTGTGCCTGATCCATCTCCATTTTCTCCTACATACTTGTTATACAATCGGCTATTGGTTGGTTTGTTCCCAGCCAGAGTTTATTGTTGCTAATTCTTCCTGGCTGACCAGCCATCTGATGTTCAGTATGGAGCTAGCGAAGGTGGCAGCTGTTGATAAGAGTCTGAAACTGGCTGTTGGACATGCTTTTCGTGACACGCAGTGCAAGTTTCTGAGCAGAATAGAAGAAGTGACTGACTGACCTCATGCTGGTGTTGAAAATCCGAATCTTGTCCTCTATGCTGTGTGAGTGCAGAAGATTTCCAAACTGGTTTCAGATTGATGAAGGCGTGTCTTACCATTTTGGTTCTGGTTTTGCAACAGTCATGAGAAGTAACTACTTTTTAGCCTAGCAGTCAAGTAAACAGCGTTGAAACAATATTATTAAGGTAGAGATATTTTTATACATTGAATCCATATAAAGCATATAACACTGCAACAATTGGCACAAATATATGTATTAAATCCAATGAGATATAAGATTTCAATTTACGACAATTCCTTTCCGAACACAAAAGTGGCAGAAAAACACATGTGCATTCATTATTTTTATCTTTTTATTTATTACATGATAGCTCCAGTACGCATAGAAGATTCTAGTGGCATTTGTAGGTGATTTCCATACGCTGATTGCATTTTTGATCAGATAGTAGTCTTTTACACACGAAAATAGGCTGCATTGATATCCTGAGACTCGAAGTCTTCAAAAAATGATACTTTGCCGAAAGTTGCCGGTTCTACATAAAGCAGGCTATTCGTGAAGACGATGTTACCCGGTGACAGTAAACAATAGGTATTGCAAATTGATGGTGTTCATAATTTTGTTGCAAGTTTTTCATAGATGTTTAATACAAGTAATACAACGACTAGTTGTGCTACGCACTACCATTCATGCTCGAGTGGAAGGGACGTTGGCAACTATATTCATCATAATTATGATGATCGAACCTGAAGTCGATCATATTTCTGAATTAGTAGATCCTATAAGTGGAACTCGTACAAATTATATCAAAGGATTATCGGTAAATCTGAAAAATCATTACAATAGTAAATGGTCCCCGATATGGTTTGATATGATACACTGCCACTTGGATTTTTTGTACCCACATTGGTTTTATATGTCTACAGATACTCATGTGAGAACCTGGGACCAGTTTTTAAAGCACCTTAGAGATATATACCCTGTATAATTCTCTTTTGTTACATGTATGCCTTATAAAAACTTTTTTCTAAACAGATGCCAATCTTCAACTGGAAGAATATTATTGGTAGATGCAAGATCGTTTGGCCTTGTTGTCTATTTGTTTACTGTTCTCCATTACGTTCCGACTAACCCATATTGCTCATTATGGAGATATTTTGACGCAGTCCACCTGAAACACCGAAAATTGCAACCAACATGGTAAGGGTGTGTCATGGTCGGACCACATGACGCGGACACCAACATGACTGGTCAGGAAGTGAGAATTTTTATCAGTCCATAAAACATTTAACACAATTGTATTAAAACCTGTTGGTAAAAAAATTTACCAGCCAACGTTGTGTTGGATAAGTTAGACCGTTTATTGAGCTCAGATGATAATCGAATAAATTTGGTCACTACAATTACTGACTTCTAGTTTGCTATTTCTTCTTCAGTTTGCTCTGTCTACACCATTTAAGAAAATGAGAAAACGCCTACTTAGAAAATGTCATCAATTGGGGGCATAAGCCAGTTAACACCATAGTAATGTGCGACACTGGGCAGTTGCAACAACAATCTCGACTGTTTGAGTTTAGATATACTACTATTATTATTATTGGATAATTGGATGTTGATTTAAATACCTCTGGTTGTATGCAAAAGCTTATCCATCAGTCAATATGTTGCAAGCGCGTCGGTGCCTGAATGTTAGAATGTCCGTCACACACTCATGTCGTTCGGTATAAGATCATCAGGCAACGCATTCTTTTAGCTCCACCACCCGGTGATAAGACGGGAAAGAGGGAAGGTCGACCATGAAGTTAGCAACCACATCCCCAGTCAATGTAGTTGAAGACTGGACGATCAATTTATGGTTGTTTGCTCAAACCCAACCTCTCCATAATTTTCGCGGGTGATCAATCTGCCAGTCATCGTCTCATCGGTTGCTGTTCAGAAAGAACCTAGAAAAAACTACCAGAAGTAATATTGTGATTTATTGTTGTAATATTTGTTCTTAGACCTTAGTTTATTATGCTGCTTATATGTTGGTGTAGGAATAAAGAATTCCCGAGTTGCCAATCTGTGTTCTGGTTTTCGTGTCCGTTAGTACTAAGCGTTTCTGAAAGGCTTCGAGGGACAGCGAGAGGCCCGGTGTAGCAAGAGCTGAGCATTAATGGTTTTCGAGACGTGACTGACATCCCCTAAACATAAGCACTGCTGCTATCAAAACTACTAAGCCCTGACTTGAAGCCCTATTTTCCACCAGGAAGGTAGAGGAATAAAAAATGAGACTCTGTCGTTTTAAGTGATCTTCATCATATAAGTCCGCACAGAATTCCACCTGTTTAAGTTGCCTTACTCCATGTAGCACACACTGTTAGAGAAAAAAGATGCCGAATGAAAATCTTATTAGTACAAATGTGAGGGGGAACGAATAACTACAGGGAAGCATATAAGAGTTAACTAGATCTGTGAAATTTCACAGAGTAATTATACCTGTGCTATTATTAACGATTTGAAGTCCTATCTGTAATGGTCAATGGAAGTGACCGCTTAAGGTCTCATGAAATAACGGTAGGTTTTCCTGTGACTAAATCCAACTCTTGTTTATGTAAACATATTTGGCTTGATACTGCACATCGAGGGCAGATATGGTGCGGCATGCACCCTATGTGTTCGAGTCTCATTGACTAACTCGTCTTACATCTGTGATAAAACACAAGAAGTCTTTTTATATCTCCCACCTTCAAAGGCAATATCTCGCAGACTGTCCTCTGGTGGGTCGCTAAAGCCAGTTACAGACAATTCTGTTAATACAAGCATGATGAAATTAAACTGAAGTAAGGACTACAGTTGCAGAAATGAGCCTTGTATTACATTCGCCTTGAAAGCATGATTATTTCTTGATAATTTGCTTCCGCATTCGGTGATTAGAATGCATTGTGTAGGATTTATGAAACTCACAAACTGGCCCAATTCTTTTTTCAGAAATCCAAGTTGGTGTTTCCTCCATAAATTGTGAAGTGGATATCATGGTTGTGTTAACTCAGTAAGTGGTGAACTACTGGCTACGCAAGCGACAATGCTGGCAATTACGAACCATTATTTCAGCTTGACTGTACAATTCAGTAACTGTTAACTGAACGGCAAACGAACATCAAATGTATAAAAGAAGTCAATAGGTTTTAGAAAAACATAAACAACTTTGGTTTCGCTATGAAGCTTCCATGTCAAATGCATTATTCCTGGAAGCGGAAGGTTTTCCATTCCTCCCGCTTAACTTCATACGAAGAATTTTGTGAAGTAATTCCCGAAGTTTTACAAATAAACTACTCAGTGGAGAGAAAGCAACTACATCAAAATCATCCATGTGAGCTAGAAATCTGCTCCATTACATCTTATTCTTACGAGCGGAACACGTTTATTTCTGTTCAAAAGTGGGAAGACCTCGCCAAAAGGCAAGGATCCACCAGAATACAATTATTCTTTCCCCATGAGTGCGTCAGCGATTAAATCCTACCACCTAGTGTCAGATACAAACTTCCAATCAACTGCTCAGTGGGATGGAAAGTGGTCGAATAATGTGAGAGATGAATGGTCAAATTGATGATTGCAGGTGCACAAAAAGAAAAACTATGGGAAACCCTTAACCAGGAACATCTGTCGACGCTGATTACTAAGATTAGAAGACACAGAGAACAAAGACAGAAAGTTCCCTAAATCAAGCTAGCCTAAAACACAAATCAACAACCAAAAAAAGCATCTATTGACTGCGAGGTCAACCTATCAAAACAACCACGCCGAACAATAGTACTGATGGTCAAACAGAAAACACAACACACAAAACTCAACCCATCAAAAAGCTAAAAGTTGGCACTACGTAGTCATTCTACCATCTGACAAAGGAAGAACGACAGTAGTCAGGGACAGAGAAAGAATACGCCAAGAAAGCTGAAGAACTACTCAGAGATGAGGATCTGTACCAATAACCCACAACAAATCCCATTAAGTATTTGACAACTGCATTCAAAAGACTTTAAACAAGCTCACCAAAGCAGGTCAGATCACAAAACAAGACCAATGACGAATGAAATCCACTGGGCCATTTCTACCCTGATTCTACGGCAGACACAAAATACACAAACCAAATATCCGGTTACAACCAATTATATCACTCCTAGGGACCCTAGCATACGATTTTTCCATAGAACTATACAGAAAATTGA